GAAATTCCAGGAACGTGCTCCATCATCAGTTCAAAATTTTAGCAAATGCAAGTAAAATACATTAATGGATTAGCAAATTTTAGTTAACACAACTCTCAGTACAGTTTTCTTTATTATAAGGAGCACATGGACGTAATTCCGAACTAACGACACTCATCTGTTATTGCGCTCGCTGATGGTCATTTGCAGAGGGCACTCGTTTCCAGTAATGATTAATGAATGATTTTGCATCAATCATTAATGATCGCTGAAGAATAAAATGAGAAGAAGACGAGTGAAGTATTGAAAATGCAAGTGTTTATTAATCAAACATTATTCTGGTCGGGGATGATAGTTTGCTTAAATTAAAAACCTTGAAACCATACTACAAGGATTTCTGCTACGTGGACTTCTGCAGGGTGACCCAGTGGTTACAGTTCAGAGTACCAAGATTGGCGCAGAGAGGCGCGGGTTCGATCCCAGCTCTGTGCGCCAGTTTCTGGTCAGAATCGGCAAGGAGGCCGGGCGGTTAAGCACAGCAGAATTGTAGCAGTGAGTTGTGAGTTCGAGACCGCAACAAGCTGTGAATGTTCCGCGATATTAAGAAGCGGCGACAGACCTACAGTCTAATAAACGTTGAAATCGCTACTATATTATTATGTCTTACTCATATTAATGGAATTTAAACCTTAATCAAATTGCAATCGTTACTTTACTAGTACAGTCAACATTTATCAGACTTTCAGACATACTAATAAATAAATCTCCCTTCTTCATAACATGCATTAAATCGCCTGTACAATACTGTCGGAATATGGTTTCGGAAAAGTCGTATAATTCGATTTCTTCGAAATCGAATATTCACGGAAAGTCATAATAAAATATTGCTTTGAGCGGTGTGCAGTCCTGGGTAACGGATTTCTAATATTAATTTCTCATATTCATGACTCAATATTATGTAAGCAATCTCCTCATCTTTTTTCTTCCATTTTCGTACCGTTAGCTCGATATTGATTAGTTTATAGGCGGCCATTCGAGTAAACGTTCTGCTGTAAATTTTTTACGAGGCCATGTAGGTCACGAAACTTGGAGAGCTCTTGTGCGAAAATGATTTTATTTGTAGCGATGTTAGCGTGACATTCGGGACATTGAAAAGAGCGGGCAAAGCAATCGAGCTTAGTTGATGTAATGCTATAGTGCAGGGCTAGAAACTGCATATTATCGTTCATTTTTAGGGTCTGTGAATGGAGAAATGATTGCTTTGCTGATGGAATATTGTAATGATTCAGGAGTCAATTCAAATGCAATCATTAAAGATGCCGAAAGCTTAAAAATGTATAATCTTATTTCAGAAGTGAATAGAATGTTTTCTAAAATTCATAAGCTTTGTAGAAACGAAGAAGGTGAGCAAGTTTGGTCCGCTCCTGCAGTGGTGAACACACAGCATTATTGGAAACGTTTTTTATTCATAGGAAATGCAAGAACGGAATAGCTATAGACTCATCACATTAGATTGTTCTTTTCAATCGTTTCGTTTCGTTGCTCCTTCTTTCAGACTTCGTTTTTTCGTTCGCAATTCGCAGCGAATAAATTGCTATTAGTTTAATCAACAGCCGACGAATAATGGCGAATAATGTAACAGTGAATCCAAGTACGAATATTAGTGAATAAATTTACCGTAAAAATATCCATAGTCGTCTACGCTTGGGTAAACTTTGCCAAAAAAAGTTTTATCCCTTTTCACCACCTTAAAGATTTCATTATATTATGCTCGTCGTTAGATATTGATATTTCTTATTTGTCTTGCATGAATATTACTAATAAGTCATAATTCAAGAATACTCAGCCGAGATTGAATTTAAACTTTCAGTTTCACTTGTGTGAATCCATAGATTGTTTTTCAGGACATTCAAACATAACTCCTTAAGAATGTTGAGCATTTATGAATAATAATGGAAGTAAATCCAAAAAAGTTCAGAATTTACGGCCACATTTCACTTAATAATACATACCAGTAATTTTATTGTCAATGAGATTGATGGAGGTCCTTACGGAGAAAGAAATTCCGACTTAACATCTCGGAATAACTAGAAAATGAGGACCATAAACTAATCAATGACATTGCTCAAGGTCTCCTAGAAAAATAGCATCACAGGCGGTAAGCTGAAAATAATACGTTTTTAGCGCATTTTCTCATTGATGTCCGTCTGTCTGTCTGTCTGTCTGTCTGTCTGTCTGTCTGTCTGTCTGTCTGTCTGTCTGTCCGGTTGTCTGTCCGTCCGTGACCTCAAGTTTTCGTCGACGAGAAAATGCGCTCTCTGTCATTCACTGCAGTGAGTACTGAGTTATATTTTTTTGTGAAATTGCAGGTTAGTTAATTGCGTGAGGCTTAGCCGAATGGCTATGCGATCAAGCGGAACGCTGCTGAATGCAAGTTATATGAGCACTGCCATTGCCAGAGAACAACTAAAATAGCACCGAATTAAACGATGACCATGCATTGTTACCGTGAAGCCTATTATACAATTGATGCCATCTGTGGCTACTGCTCACCTAATTAATGCAGCGGTGACTGATTCAATTATTTTCATTCCCAATTGAAACGCTGAGCGCTTTGCCGATTGCAGACAAAAATTTCTTTGATTTTTAGTCTTGTTTGAGCAAATTTAATTTCCGGGGAAATTAAATTGTGTGATATTATTTATATTAGAAATATAAACGTCTTATTCGAATAAAAAATTGAAAATATTTACCATGCAAATGAACCAGAGTGTTTCATTGGACTGCGGAGCATCACTCGAGTTATCATCACCTAAGTTATCATTGACGTAGCCACTCCAGACGCCTCTGAAGACATCGTTGGAACTCCTTGGAAGCACTCGATTATTTTCATCCTTTAGAGTTAAGTCGCCTAGAAAGCCATCAAGAGGCAGACTCGATCTAGTTGCTCGAAAGCTTTCTAGTCCAATATTGAGTGTTGATAGCTTCCGCCGAGCTTTGGCTCTAGACTGCAACGACGCGAGTTTTCAAACACCGCACCGTGGCTTCAGTCCGGCTTGCAACGCAGTCAATGTTGTCTCTAGCGATGAAACTCACCGTTTTGGTCATAAAAGGCTTCTTGTGGCTTAAATTAAAAAATAGATATTTATAAGTAATGTTTAAAAATAGACACTTCCTGATCGAAAATTGTACACTTATTTATTTTGAGATTGGAATTTTCAATGAGAGAATTCATCACGATCTCAGAAGATGAGCTAACCAGAAAATTTTAACTTTATTAGTTCTGAGTATTTAAAAATACCAAGCCGGAATGAAATGTCATGTATACGAGTACAATGCCAGTTATGTTCTTCTTCTGATAAAAGTTTGCACACTCAATAACCATCCCAAATACCATACTCTGTCTATATGGTCAGCAACTCAGCATTATAGTACAAATTATATGAATAACAAAATTCATTATTTATTTATGAGAACCTGTCATTTGTGCGGAATACAGCACATACGCGATATCTAGGGGATGAAAAGTTTGTATGCGATTTATATGAACGCTTTGATGAAATAATATAGCATATTTAATTTCTCATTCTACGAAAATTCTCGTCTAGCCAAAGAATTATGCAAACTATTTTTTAGAGAGTGAGATCTTGAATATATTAAATTTTTATAAATTCATTTCAAATTATTCTTACCTGCCCCCCCCCAAATCTAATTTATGTAGTAGGAATTTTTAAATCACAAATTCCATCCCAACACTCGCCTTTTCTCTTGGTTTCCATGAGTTTTGATCAAGACAAATTTTCCAAGAACGCAGTCCAATCTTGGAGACGAATTTTGGATTTCCGCCGAACCTTTGCGACGGAGAGCGGTGCTGTTTTTACGTACATCGTAACTGTATTATGGAAAAATTGATACCAGAAAAATACCGTGAATTTGATATTTCGCTGTGGAGTAAATGGAAGAGTCGCTCGGTTTATGGAGATTTTGGGAATTTGGAAGAGTGGTGCGCTGTGCAAAAAAGCGGGCATCTTGAAACACCTCTACTAGAAACGTGGAACATATCGATTTTATTTTCCTTCGTAAATTTATACGAAGAATTGTGTAAAGTATTTTTAAACAATTTTCCATGGCCCAAGTAACTACCATTTGCTCGATTTCCCGTTATTTCACGGCAAATTTCACTTAACATAAAAGTCTTGTGTTTTTAAGCGCTTCTAAAATATGTTTTTTCAATTTTTAAACATTTGAGATTCGCGTGAACTTAAAATTTAATCGAGAACGCTAATTGTGGATTTTTAGTGCGTCTAATTAATGGCACGAGCCAAAATAGATCCAAACATGACCTGAAAGATTACATTTTTCTAACATCAACAAAGATCCGTGACTGACAGGAAGTGAACTGATACTTTCAACCCTAACACATTCGAGAAGAAAATCTCTTCTCTAAGAAGACGGTAGTCGTAAATTTTATGGCAGAAGATTCGTTGTTGGTCTAAACTATGGAAAAACAATGTGTCAAGCTAAAGAACTTCATTTATAAAAACGTCTCGTATAGTGTGAATCTTATCATAACGGAAAAGTCGAGGGAAATTTCATCTTCGAAGAAATAAGATTAAGACTCTAGAATTTAAATCATGGCTAGAGGATAAATATTAATTTGTTTTCTAGAAGTCGTGAGGTATCGCTAAATCTCAGACATGACCTAAATTTTACGTTCTAGAACGTAATTCATACTTACATTAATTATTTCCGAGATCAATGAAACTCAATGGGCATCATTTTCATGCAAGTTATTTGATATGTCATAATGTCATAAAAACTAGTTCAAGAGAGATGACACTATAAAAAGTTTTACCTTTCTAACCGTAAAATAACAGCGGCTTGCCATGATAAAAAAAAATAGGAAAGAACAAATAGCTCAACTTTATTTTCGACACACTTTTCACTAAACGAAATCGTAAATCGAAAAACATGAGTACAAGAATATCACGTTTTATTAAAATTATTTTCCCGCTGTGCAGGTCCTTTAACAGAGAGGTGGGCAGTGATAGGCGGTAAAGTGCTACTTCCATGCGACGTCACTCCTCATCCCGTGGGAGACGCTCCTTTGCTGATGCTCATTTCCAGAGGCGAGACTCCCATTTACAGGTGAGCAGACTGCTTCAGCTCATCGCACTCAGTGCTTTATTTCCAGCGCTGGGACTGCTACTTACAGGTGAGCAGACTGCTTAAGCTCATCACAGTAAGTGGCTCCTTTCCAGCGCTGGGACTCCTACTTACAGGTGAACAGATTACTTAAGCTCATCACAGTAAGTGGCTCATTTCTAGCGCTGGGGCTCCTACTTACAGGTGAGCAGATTACTTAAGCTCATCACAGTAAGTGGCTCATTTCTAGCGCTGGGGCTCCTACTTACAGGTGAACAGATTACTTAAGCTCATCACAGTAAGTGGCTCATTTCCAGCGCTGGGACTCCTACTTACAAGTGAGCAGACTGTATTAACTCATCTTGGTAAATGGCTCATTTCGAGAAGCGAGACTCCCATTTACAGGTGAGCTAACACTCGTCAGACTTAGTGGAGGCTATCAGACTAACACTCATATTTACTGGAGAGGAGTCTACCCATACACATGAAACTCAGTGCCAGAGGCATAACTCTTATATACACTCAAACACATCATATTTATTGGACGTATCCTTAATCCCACGAGTTTACGTTCATAGATCATCATTATTTTGTAATCATAGAATATTCATTCGTTTTCAGCAGTCGTTGTGGATTGCGTTTTTACTATGAAGAGGAAAATCAATTCTTCCATTGTGTTCCATTGTGTAGAAGATCATTTAGTGGACTTATTTCGAAGCAGGAAATGAGTGTCTTCTTATTTAAAAATGGTGTCTTTCTGTCTTATTTTCATTCGTGGATAGTATATTCCGAAAATATTCATTGGTCAATCACCCATTAATAATCCTTTTATAGAATGTTCTTTAACCCATATCCCATCACATTATTTTATTTCTTAACAATCGTACCTATTGAAGGCACATTTGTACCTTCCCAATCCAACAAATGTTAAACTTTTAATTTTTAATACGGACTTCAATGGCTGCATGGCCTAGTGAATGCTCATGGAAGCGGCCGCTGGGAAATTATAAACCATTCGATCCATGGGTGTTTAATTTTCTTACGTAACAATCGTATCTAGTATAGGCGTACCTGTACCTTTTCAGACCAACAAGGTTTTAACTTGAAGTTCTTAAAACGGATTTCATTCGGGTATACGCAGCGTGGACGCCCGTAAGGGTGGGCGGTTGGACTCGTCGATCCACTGGTCCTCCCCCAACCATCTGGCTACACGCGCCCGCTTCCTGATGGTCGGCGGAGGGGCGCTCGAGATCGACCCTGTGCATAGCGACGACCAGAGCGACTACCATTGCAGAGTTGAGTTCCGGGACTCACCGACACGCAACTCCAGAGTTCGTCTCCAGATTGTTGGTTAGTGTTCGATGTTTGAATAAAAAATAATTATTCGAATAGTAAATATTATTTGAAGAGTAAATATTATTTGATGTTGCTAGAAATCCCGATACATAATTCCAAACAATTGTGTATAGAAACCGAGTAGCATGATTTTAAGAAACTACTTAACAGTTCTTTTTGCCAGCTGCTAGTCGAGAGTTTGTAAAATTGAAGCTGGAACAATGACATTACTTTGAATCTTTATGAAATTTCATATGTAATTACTTATCATTTCTGTTTGAGTTAATGAACAATTCTTTAACGTCGAGCAGTGGTGCCGCAGATGCCTCAGATCACCGACGAAGCTGGCCGTAAGCTGACAGGCATGATCGGGCCCTACGACCTGGGCGAGACCATCACTTTGGCTTGTCACGTCAGAGGAGGTAGGAAATTCTACAAATTTCCTACCTAAAACCCCGGAAAACACATATTCTATGATTTTTAAACCATGGGTTTGGCTTTAAAACCCCGAAAAACCCTTATTCTATGGTTTTCAAACCATGGGTTTGGCTTTAAAACCCCGAAAAACCCTTATTTAGTGGAGGAAAAATTCATTTAATTACGGATAATTTTAGTGAAATTCAAATAAATTCCACGGAAAAACTTCATGCGGCGAATTGAGTTTGATCAAAACAAAGGTACAAGAAAATATAAGACGATAATTTGAGGCCGTTATATTTACTGGGAAGGCCATAAATATGAATTTATGAAGGCCATTTAATAGTTATATTAATATATTTATTATTCATGTGTAGGCCATATAAACGAATATTGATTAATAGAATAGATGACGACGTTTGTAATTAATGTCCATTCATTTTCATGATAAATAACAAAATGTGGTTTAGGAACATAGCTCAGGCAGATCAAATTATTATTTTAAGCACGAAGTTAATTTAGTAACAAAATTGAACATCTGAGCGCATGGAAGAGGAAGAGCAGTCTGTTTTTTTGGGAGGGGGGGGAATTCATATTGAACGGACTTCCTGTCAAAGAAACCTATTAATCTTTGGCTGGCAACCCACTTAAAAAGATTTCGATAGCTTAAGGCGCATATGCACTCGCCGAATTTTTTTTCCCGAACGTTCAGGCACGTTCACTCATTTTTTTTTTTACTTCTGAAAAGCATTCGCGAACAGGCAGTCTGAGGAACCCCTGGGAGTCCTGCGTCGGTAGTGATAATGTCATAAATCGAGACAAGCCGTCGAAAGGAAAGGTGCGGATTGTGAGAATTTTCGCTTTGGAGAGGAGCAAATTATGTGGCTGATGCCAAAATGTCATTCGCGCGAGTATAGAACTCGTTCAGTTAGGACACTGTCTTACAAACGTTTCCATTAGAAACATTATTTTACATACCGCAATAAGCATGCTGTCTTTGAACTAATCATCGACGTACATATCTGGATTCAAACAAAAATCAAGTGTAACTCAACACGTAAACTGGAAAAAATCATAAATCACCGAGCTGTCATGAATATTTGAAACATTTTGTAACAACACTTGGTTTATCGTAGATCTAAATAATTAAACGCATCTTTTACGCTAAAATTCGCTAAATAAGTCACATCTGTTGTCTGAAGGCTGAACTCCTCGACAAATTATTATTATTTCAATATCAAACGAGCGTGCCTTACTTTGCTAACTGTTGAAACTTTCTGTGTTTACATTAGCATAGCTTCGTCTGAATGGTAAAGGTGTCCTTAGCTCAAAACACTATTCTGGTGAGATGTGTATGCATCATATCTGGAGATCTAATGAATGAAAATTATTTAATTCTGATTATTATCACAGTTCAGGATCTCATTTGAGTAAAGATAGGACGATTGAGATATGAATACATGAAATTTTTCTGTAATAGTTTAATAAGTTGGATATTAAAACAATATAAATATGAAATTTTATTTAATAATTAAATAAGTTCCCGAGTTATTTCGGGCAACATACCGATTTCGCAAATAGGTGATCGACATGAGTTGTTTTTTTACATCGAACTCGCGTTATTTATCGTGAGACATTCACTGACACAATTTTCACCACTAATTGTCGTCGTGCTGTGATCGTGACCGAAGTTTCAGACCTGATGAACACGACATTTGATTTGCACGAGTAATTGTTTTTTCTTTATTAGCGGGACATAACTCAAGTCAGGCATCTTGTTTATGAACGTTAGGCGAATGTTTAATCTTTCATGTCCCAGAGCTTATTCACTGCATGCATCTAATTATTCCTAATTGGTTCAAACAAATTGGAGCACAAGCAGAGCTACCAAAAGCAGACATGCATCAGAATCGGGGTTATGTCGTAAACTGTATCAATTAGGGAATATGTCGGTGACCTTTGGTCGCAAATGTATTTATCAATTGAAGTTTAAATTACCATATATGAGCTTTTTTTTGTTAAATCATATTTGTCAAGAATTACAACGCTCACAGCAGTCTCGAAAGAATAGTGATCAACATAGCAGCGAAAAATTAGTTTTGAGACTTTAGAATCATGTCATTTTTGGTTAATATTGTTTCCTCTAAACATTCACTTATTTATTTTTACTATCAAATAAGTTACTGAATTTCGGATGCCGTCGAAGTAATTATATGAAAACTATTCCCGGGACATACTCACCTATGTTAGAGCATGATTCAAATTTTCATAATATATTATTACCCGTGGAAATCGACAAAGTTTTTACCAATGAGTAAATACCAACCAAGGTACATATATTATCATATTGAAATTTTAGGCTAACTCTAGTTCAACGGAACGACTCATGGTTGCCAGTAAGAAATGTTCATGGTGACAGAGATATTGAGTATTTATTTAATATTATTAATTTTATTATTTAGCAATAGATGTTATTTCTAGCAAGTCCATGAACTGTTGAAACGACGTCAAATTCATTAATTGTTCCCGGAATTTTCAGGCATCGTTCCAATTAACCTCTATACAACGCTACTTTGTAACCTTAACTTTTCCATTGTAATTGAATGAGACTGCGCGATCCCAACCCTCATATTCATCAATATATTTAGTTAGGACGATCAACAGATCAAGTTATCTTTGGATGCAACCGTCCAATTAAAACGGGTTTATAGGATAAAAGCAGCCAATCACAAAGTGATAGGCACAATTTTAAACTGATTGAAAATACGAAATAGAATAGGAAATCTAAATCAATGGCACTAAATTTAAGTCAAACAATAAAAATGTGTTAATGAACATAAAGATGCATTCATTATTAGCTTTCTATAAAGACGCTAAATTTAACTTTTAAATGCTCCATTGAAAACAAGTAGTTTAGTTGTCGCAGAAACAATCTAAATACGAGACCCGACTGCAATTAAACGACATTCAAATGAAAAACCTTCTCCGTACGATTCTGTGAACCATATTATTTCATGTCAACAATACTTATTGTGACAAGACGCAACGTCAATTATCAACGCGATCAAGAGTCATTGCAAAATCAGTACAATCATATTATATTCGCCATATACGATTTTGAATAGGGGGGGGGGTGCAGCATTGATTCTAGGCCAGTTTGTAAAATTTAGCCAAAACTATATAAAAAAAATAAAAATTTAAGATTTTTTTTAATTTAAAATAAATTTAAAAAATTTTAAATTATATTAAAAAAACTTATTATTTCTTCGTTTTCATCAAAAAGACTAAGAAGTAAATAACAGCGATTAATATTGTTTATAATGTTTCAACCAGTTGGTTGAAACAAATGGTGTATCCCTAAAGATAACGATGAAAATTTATACGTTATATTAGCCCTCGACCACGCGATATTCCAGCCAAATATACTTTGCGTGACCTCTATTAACGAAGTCAAACTTGCTCAAGTTCCACAATTGCTGTCAGATTAAAGAACATACTGGATATAAATTTTTTTTGGCAACAATTAATGTTCTGTAAATTAACTATATTATTTATTATTTATGGAAGAGTTCATTCATTAGCGTATAAAAACATTTAGATGAATAAGGATTCAAGTCCTTCAAAAGTTTCACTCCGTGAAACCAAACACATAAAAAAAATCCTAATATTTTTTACGTGCGGCCAATAGAATTATTGATTTGTTCCTGATAAAAATCTTTTTCTGATCCTGTCCTCGATGAAAACTAAGTTATTTACAAGTCAGTTGAATAATTTCTTCACTGAACGGGACTTTAATTGATAGAATAGAATTTGTCGATGTGGTGCATTTGCTGATTTTTTACACCTGCTTGCCAGTGAATGAGTTTAGAATTACTAAACCTCGAATTTCGACTAAAAAACAATTACACCTTAAATACTGATCACGCTTCACTTTTTTTAATACTATAGTATTATAATTATTGTCATTTGGCGTAAAATATGTTACATCGAGAAATTTTTAGTTAGGAAGTTGTGATGAGCTCATTGTTCGTTTCGAGAAAGCATTATATACTTTCACTTGAAAAAGAGTTTACGAAACTAATCGTCTGAATTTTTCTCACGCTACTGCCCAGGTTATCCTAATCCGAGGGTGACGTGGTGGCATGAGAGGTTCTTACTGGACGACCTGAGTGAGGTGACAGAAGGTGTCACCACCGTCAACAGGATCACGCTGCCTAACCTCAGCCGTCAACACCTTGACAGGAAGCTCACTTGCCAGGCTGACAACAGCAACCTCACCAAAAGCCTCCAGGCTTCAGTAACTCTCAATATGAGTTGTGAGTCCGGAGAAACTTTCAGACGGATAAGCAAGTATTTGAATTTATTATCACTGTCAATGAGCCATGCATCTAAGTCCATGTAGCGACTGGAGACAGAACGAGTCTCGATTTAAAGCTTAAGGCACAGTCGACAGTGCAGGTGTTTTGTACTTCACGTTAAAAAAGACGACGGTACATTCGCTCGATTTTGCAGTGCACCCTAAGCATCTTACAACTCCGAGATTTATTAATCACTTTCTTTGGTTTAATAAAATTCAGCAACGCTCAGTCCTTTGGTACTTTGCAAGCAAATATCAACTCATTTGTTGTAAAGCGAAGGAATAAACGTTAAATTGACAACATTTTGAAGATAAAATAATACCTGCAGCGACTTGGTCTTACGAAAATAAAATTTCTTGGCCTTAATGCAAAATGCCTATGTCTTGAATACCGTCAAGATTTTCAACTTTCAATTTTTTCCCTAAGTTCCCCCAGCGAGCGTGGACATCGTGGGCTTCGAAGGGCCGCTGTCTGAGGGACGACGGTACTCGTTCTCATGTCAGGTGACAGGCTCGCGCCCACCGGCCACCCTCCTGTGGTACGAGGACGGCATCGAAATCAACCAGACTAAAGCACTGGTAGGCGAGGGGCATGCAATCTTTTTGGTTTGAAAATTTTATTGTTAATTATATTTATCAATATTTTATGGTTTTATTTGAATCAACCAGACCAAAGCACTAGTAAGCGAGGAGCATGCAACCTATTTTTGCTTGAAATAGTTTAATAATAATTTGTTTATCATTATTTTATGGTATCATTCGAACCAATCAGACTAAAGCACTGGTGAGCGAGGTGCATGAAATCTATTTATACCTGAAATCTTTGAGTTATTAATTTGTTTATCATTATTCTATGGTATCATTTGAATAAACCAGACTAAAGCACTGGTAGGCGAGGTGCATGCAACCTATTTTTACTTGAAATGTTTTTTTATTAATTATATTTATCATTATTTTACGATAATAGTTAAATCAAATAGATTTTAGCCCTGTTAGGCGAGGTGTATGAAACCTATTTTTGCTTGAAATTTGTTATTCCCAATCTGTTTATCATTATTTTATGATAATAGTTAAATCAAATAGATTTTAAAATGGTAGGCGAGATGCATGCAACATATTTTAATGTAAAGTATTGGTATTTTATTCGTAATGAAATTCTTTATTATTTATACAATTATGGAAATCTACCAAACTGAAGTACTGGTAGATGACATGCTTGTAATATATTTTTACTTTAAATAATTGTTAATTTTTTCGCATCGACAATATTTGTTATTATTTTACATAAGTATTGAAATAAAATGGCTTAAAACACCAGAGCATGTGTGAATGGAAATCATTTTTAGGTGAAATAATGACATTCCGTTGCTGTTAGTAGTGTGCCTTATATTACAAAATATATAAAGAAACCAGACTGAAGCATCGGTAGACGATGCGCATGAACCTTATTTATACTCCAGAAAAATGTTTTGTGGTGATCAATGTTCTGCATAATTAGTAATGTTAACGAACTTAATTATTACGCGCTTATGCCTCATTTCTACACGATTTATTTTTATTTGTGGAGTTCACTGTTCACTTTCCGTTATAATTAGTACTATTAACAGTGTTAATTATTTTACAGATGGAAACAAAATAATGAAAATTCCTAGTTCTCCAATAATCATTTTCAATATTAACGAGGAACGTAATTGGTTTTCCCTTCATGTAAAAAATTCAATTTAATCACAGAGAGGCGAATTTCGACGATATTATTGACATCACTCAGTGGCTATAAATAACCTACTTGTGCATACATCTAAGCTCGCCTCTCGTATAATTAGCAGAAGGTCTATTTGCAGACATTTGTAGAGACCTGATAATTTCCGATTTAAATTTATGCTCCAAATTAGCCAACTTCGTCTGAATTCAGTGCCAATCTTCACATTTCTCAATTCAGTGATAGAATCAAACAATGTGTTGAGATCCAGACATTATTAATTGATGAAGCCTGACATTAAGCCGCTAGATAATTCCTTCTTCTCAGGTTCGCGTATTATAATCATAGCAGTTCAGCCTAGATCGCTGTCAAAAAGATATGATCATTGTGGCGAATGCTTATTATGGTCAATTTCAAGTAAAAAGATTGAGGCCGGTTATTTCTGTAGATTTATTAGCTTTTAATATCGTGGTGATGGTTTAATGGACAATTAAATGAATATTCGAGGGTAATTGGCTGATTGTGTATTCATTGTTATTAAATTTTCAAATTTTACATAATATGTTCATTTCAATTATGCAGCTAAAAGCTTTTAGAGTGTCTATTTGAAAACTGTTAATTGGTTAAGTTTAACCTCTCCGATGATTCAGTTGAAATATGAAATCTGCGAGTTTGAACAGTATCCCAAATGAAAAACGTTTGCTCTGGTAGAACAGCTATGTTCCTCCTACCAATCGCGTATTAATTTTAGCAACAAATATTATGGGAACGACCTCACTAATATCCTTATCGGCAGCCTTGTTATTTTTGCCTTGCTAGGAAGTGCATTCCGAGGGCGAGACGCAATCTACACTCGTCGTCAACCCGACGCGCGCCGATAACGGCAAAACAATTTCGTGTCGCGGCACAAATCCGCTTATCCCGGACCAGTCCAAGGAAGATGTTCGTCTCCTGACTGTCCACTGTGAGTACCTAATATCGTAACAGCGACTTGGTAATCAAACTCGAATGGCAGGTTAGTTCGAAACCTAATAGCTGACAAAGTTTTCAAGTACATATTTGTGTGAAAGAATAATTACGTTATTATCCCTGTGAATTGAAATTTAATTATGAAATTTTTAGCAATTAGCTTTTTGAAAATCGTATTACAGATATCGCACTATACAATAATAGCTCTACGCTATGGTTTCATTAGATAAAATTACAAATGTAGTTTATTCAAACATCATCATGTTTAATGATGGTCATACAATAAACTGACTGAAGCCATACGTTTCGAATCCAACTCATAACAAGAATAAGTTGTGTAAGTTTAATTACCATTCGTTAATTGTTAACCAAATTCCTGATTAATAAATAGAAAACAGCACCTAGGATATAGTAAGTGAAACAATGGTTCAGGAAACATTCTAGAATATTTCTAACAGCTCATCGTATTTTCGGGACTCTGCTTACCATCGAATCTTGTTTACTCATTTCATTTATATTTATTTTTAAATGTCGATTTAGGTTTTAATATTCTCAAAGTGAAATTTAATTAAATTTTTGATGTACTTGTTTTCTCGGTTTTTGTACTGACAATGGAGCTTGACTCCGAAGTGCTTTCTCTTATAAAGAAATAAAAAATTCATTCTTGGATGAATAAAAATAATCAAAAATTTATCCTTACTTTATAATTAACACCATTTTTTCTGCGTTGTATACCAAGATCCCCCCGCGATGAGCGTAAAGCTGGGCGCCAACCTAGACGCGCGGAGCATCAAGGAGCGGGACGACGTGTACTTCGAGTGCATCATCGACAGCAACCCGCCTGTGTCTTCCCTGCGCTGGTTCCTCAATGTAACTTTATAGGAATTTTATTATGCACAGAATAGTTTTATATGTCAGCAGACAAGACATTTTATTATCGTATAAGGCAATTAATATTAAAATGAATTGTCCTAAATGTGCGGCATGAATGAAATGAAGAACAAATTTCTGAGAACGGTAGTCGATAGTGAGTATTTTTCATTAAATAGAGCATGAACGCATGATATATACTATATGATATAGCTTGCAAGTATGAATCAAGTAGTAACGCATCAGTACTGAAATTATATTATTTCCTCACAATGAATCAAAACGTTCAAGCAGAGACACTAGAGACATTTTGAATTAAAATGAAAATAGCAGAATCAGAAACCTCGTCGAAATCTTCATTGTGCAAGTTTCTTTTGAGGTAAAAGAAATTAAGTGGTTCTTAACATAACTTTTCTGAACGCAATCTTAAATGCTGATCAATAGTATATTACAAAAACACAAGTTGTTCTAAATAAAATTGCAGAGGTATTTCAATATTCCAACTTTATTTATGAACACCTATTCATTCTTCTCCTTCAAACTAGTTAATCAAAGAGAACACATTTGTTTAATCATCTGTTTAGGGCGAAGAAGTGAAGCACAACACAGACGAAGGGATCATATTAAGCAACAGGAGTTTAGTGCTGCAGAGAATCTCCCGTCGTATGAGCGGGGACTACACGTGCGCAGCCGCCAACAGCCAAGGCGAGGAACAGTCTCAGCCTCTGCATCTGGAAGTGCAGTGTAAGTAATTGAGTTATTTCTATTTTATGTTTAGTATTAATTGTTTTCACTAAGCCACCCTGGTTGAGATCTAAAGTAGTAAGAATTGTTTATAAATCAGGAAACAAAATGAAAGGCGTTGGTGTCTTTTTGAACGTTGTATTTTTTTGCGCATATGTAATAGAATAAAACGGTAATAACAAGCTGACTGTAGATAAAATGGATTGAGAACATTATACATATTTTGACACTAAAGTTTATAGGTTGATGATTCGCACTTCAATTGTTTATTCCAATAATCTATACGTTAGAAAATGTCATCACCTCGAATTTATAGGTCTGAAAACATGAACACGCATGAGTAAACTTTTGTAACACAATGCAGGATAAGGTAAAATAGCAATGGGATGAATCAATACTGACTGTCCTGTACTGTACAAATTCACCAATGGTTTCCGTACTTCAAATCGCATGCAATTTGAGTAGGTATTCTAATAGTTAGCGACTTCGTATTTTAAAAATCAACATTCGAAAGCAGAAACGAATATCCAACCATTACAGCGAGCGTGCTTAGCAAGTTGTAGTAGAGCTTAACGTCATTATCAGACACTCGAGGCTGCTGGAGCCGCGAGTGTTTACAAAGCCGTATTTCAGTACCCGAGCGAGCCTGCCTGGCGAAAGAGATAGACTCGATAGGAATTCATCGATCATCCTTGCGAGCACCATTTCCATTCAGCGAACTGGCATCGGTTCGATGCAATTGCGAAGCCTACTCGATGCCTTCATCAAAAATTCAGCGAAATTCAAGAGTATTCCTGAATTTCAGCTCCACAGATACAACACTGACTCGAAACTCTCATTCGCTGTGCGCTCAAGAGTTTTTTTTTTCGTTTGAAACTAATCTTCCGGCTCTGCATCGCAACTCATTTCTAATTATTATTGTTCAGTCCACGGGAGTTTTATGCTAGTTTGTAGAATTGTAGTCAAACAGGCGAATTGATTCAGGACCATTCAAATGGTATTTATATCACAAAGGTTTATCATTACTAGATTCAATATGCAGCGTTGGCTTTTTGCTTGATATATTAATCCGCCATAATCTCGACATCATCAAGCAGATTTGAACAGCAATCATCGCATGATGCGCGTGCCTTCAATTTCAAAAATTCGAAATTAAATCTGAGTGTAAATTTATTGACGAAGCATCCTAGATCTTTAATATGAACCTGATTTATTTTTAATACAAATGGAATTTATGTTCCATTTTTTGCTTCGATCGGCGTAAATTTGCAATTATTATTTGGGCGTACACATCAACTCATCGACTCATGAATGATGGTGCAACATTACAGCGACATGTACTTCACATTCACATGAATCAAACGCAATGACGACGTTGTATGCTTAAGGCAAACTTTTACGCAAATACGTGAGATTGAGTCCGCTCTAAAATAATAAAATAAATTTATGTGTATTTTATTTTACATATTATGACGTAAATTATTCGTTTTGCGTGAAAATTTCTGTACTTTTTTTCAATTTGTGTAAAAATTAAAAATATTATTGAATTTTTATCCCAGAACATTTAGCTGAAATATGTGGTCGTAAAATAATTACTTCAATAACATTAACCAGATTTGGAACAGTACTCTGATAAAATTTATGTGAAGAATACGAGTACTGTTCCAAATCTGGTTAATGTTATTGAAGTAATTATTTTACGACCACATATTTCAGCTAAATGTTCTGGGATAAAAATTCAATAATATTTTTAATTTTTACACAAATTGAAAAAAAGTACAGAAATTTTCACGCAAAACGAATAATTTACGTCATAATATGTATTCACCTAGCCAATAACATTGTATGACTTGTAATTCAATGCTCATTTGATGTCACTGTTCGCTCACAGTCACGCCAGTATGCGCACCGAACCAGCAGTGGGTGTACGGCGGAGGTCGACGAGAGCCCGTGAACCTCACATGCTTGGTGGAAAGCTCACCAATTCCCCATGCCTTCCGCTGGTCGCTCAACACCTCGGCTTCGGACATCGTGGATGTCCCGCGGAGTCGCGCGTACAATAAAGGACTTATGTCTGTGCTGGCTTACACGCCTCATACGCCGCTTGATTACGGAGCTCTGTTGTGCTGGGCGGAGAACAGCGTCGGCTTGCAGCAGCGCGCCTGTGTTTACCAGGTGACTGTAATCTAATGGAATGTAATGTAATTATTGAACGATTTTAAAGCATAGAGTTTGAAATAATTCCAGGGAGTTGTGTGTATAGATTTATTATTATAGGATTGTTCAAAGGATGACTTCGACAATTTGGAAAAGAAATTGGTTGTACTTACAGCCTACAAACGGTTGTCCAGCGCATCTGGCTAGGATATAATTCCTTAGTTTAGATCAATGGGCTGTACGTTTAAACATTTTTTATTGTATTATACCATCGCGACTTGTGTTTATCGTCGTTTAGAAAATGCGGTCGTTTTTCACAACGTGACTAAGACAATTTTTACGCGCCACGTTGAAAATATTTGTGATCGTAGATGCAGCTCGCGTCGAGGTATAACGAGGGGAAGGTACGTTTTCACTCATTAAAATCATCTGTGCTTCGATGATTTTTTAGCAACACAACTTGACTAAGACCATTTTTACGCGCCACGTTGAAAATATTTGTGATCGTAGATGCAACTCTCGTCGCGGTAACGAGGGGAAGGTTTCCACTCATTAAAATTATCTGTGCTTCTATGATTTTTTTAGCAAATTCTAGCTATTTAAACAGGTCAGAACGATTATTTATGAATCATGAAAGGCTTAAAATCTTTTGTGTAGGTCGAAAAATATTCAACAGTGAAATTAAAATAAAAAAAATACGAATTCACTGGTTTTTAGACTAGCAGCAGAACATTTAGAGCGCTTAGAGATCCATTACAAAAGTTTGTTCAACATGTCCATTATGTATTGCCTCCAGTTTTGACATCCATTAGTGCCCTTCCTATTAAATTTTCTACTAGAGCGTTTATCGTTGAACCTATGTCGCAATTTGCGCAATTAAAATAAGTTGAACAGTTGATTCGAAGTGACGTACTGGGCAATAAAACATTTTGCTCAACCAGCGAATAGTTATGAATATCAAAGTTCAAATCAATACTGGTTCCTTTGACACGTTTCGAATTCGCTGGTAATTACCTAAATAAATATAACTGCCATAACTTTTAGGAAGGAGCCATCACTACTTTACCATCAAACATTAATCGAAAATTCCACATGCACTTAGCTATGGGAATAGCTCTTAGAATATAAGAGCACTCATAACGTTTTGATGTGGACCTAATTTAGATCGCGTGCATACGCTTGCAAAATATAACCGGGTAATCCTCAGATCAAGAGTGAAGTTTTATTGAGCCCTAAATTGGTTCTCGAGCCTAAGGGTTTTATGTTATTGATCATAAATTAGTTGTTCAAGTGTCCAGAGATTGCTGCTCCGCGTCGAATTAGTTAAAAAAAAACGAGAGAAAATAATTGAAAGACGTATACAAATATTTCTTTGACATAGGAAATAAGTGAAAGATGTATACAAATATTTACTTGATGTAAAAACTAATTGAAAGATGCATATAAATATGTCTTTGATATAGAAACTAATTAAAAGATGTATACAAATATGACTTTGACGTGACGTCAACATAAAATTTCAATTTCTGCGATTTGTGTGCAATTTCAACTGTGTTTCTATTCTCTTTTTTGTTGTGTCCACTATTGATTTCTCATGAGGACAAGAAGTAAACAATTACATTAATTTAAATAAGATTTCATGTTTGTATTTAATTGAACTAGATAATTTGATCTAGACTCTCGTAATTTCAATTTCTATAAAAGCATCAATGTTATAAATAAAAATGAGAAACAAATTGTTCCAAAAATATTTTTTGCCACAAATAACTAAACCTAATTGGTTGATAACCAAAAACGTGCATCTTGAAACGTTTTGCACCAATTACAATGTAACATGGTAAATATTGTGTCACAGGTTGTGCCGGCCGCTGTGCCGGAGCAGGTGGCCTAACAATGCAACATGGTCAATATTGTGTCACAGGTTGTGCCGGCCGCTGTGCCGGAGCAGGTGGCCTAACAATGTAACATGGTCAATATTGTGCCACAGGTTGTGCCGGCCGCTGTGCCGGAGCAGGTGGCCTAATAATGCAACATGGTCAATATTGTGTCACAGGTGGTGCCGGCCGCTGTGCCGGAGCAGGTACACAATTGCTCGGCGTGGCACAACAGCAGCGCCAGCGGGCAGGTTGTGCTGCGTTGCTGGCCTGGCTGGGACGGCGGCTTGCAGCAGACATTCAGTCTTGAGGTGTGATGCGAAACTGATATTTGCGATTACATGTGAGTAAATATAAGAAATAACAGTCTTCTATAATGGCAGGGCTGCATTTACGCCGAATTTTATAATAATTGAATACAAAATTCCTGATTTGAAGCAACAGCACAGGCGGCGTTTGTGCGAATATAGCTAATAATAATCGGTTACCAGTCAGTATCAAAGTGACTGTGAATTGCAAATCTAATTAACTCTATGTTAATTATTAATAATATATTATGACCCTCAGTTTCGAGGCAACTGTGAATTGCTAGGCTGAATTCATACAAGTAAACTAATAAAGGGAACAATGATATGTACAACCTTCAATCTCTAGGAATTGACCTATATAATAGCTTTATTTATGCATTAGTACATGATGGCGAATACCTTAGCAGACAGATCTAAAGTCTTTATATGAAAAACAGATTTAAAGATTAAAAACCGAGTCTCGAGAGATCAAACGATTAGCCTATAGCTAAAAAATTTATTCGATTCTAATACAAAAACGAACAATAGCAGATTCAAGTTCAATACCTGGCAGAAGATTCGTTTATAGCGACGATTATTATATCATCACTCTGATTATCACGTACAATTATATGTGATGGCTTTATTATAAAGCACACCAATCTACAAAAAGATCTCGGAAACTCAAGTCATCTATGTAACAATTAATGCTCGACTCTGAATACTCATCGTCAACTTCCAATACACATTTCTCTGCAGTGAACTTATCTTCACGATTCACGCGCGGTAGGGTGAGAATCTCGGGTGTTATTGTGTCGACGCCGTGAGAAAAACTTCTGATTAATTCAATTAATTCTCCATACGTAATTGCGTTAGATGTGCTGTCTTGGGAGCTGCCCTGATATTGGTTCAACCTTTGCTCCTGCTGTTTGGCAAGTAGACAAGCCAATGCAATCGAAATGGAAAATATTTTTCAAAACTCCTTGGAACTAATTTGGTTCTTCCAATCTCGTTCCTACTAAAAAATAGTATGTGCATGTTTTTATTTCTCCTCTTTCACGAAGCGAGAATAAATTGAAAACTGTTTTATAATACGGTCAGTGACAACGAAACTTGTGTACAATACGACAAAAGAAATTCAAATCTTGAGCAACGGTACGAAAAGATGGTCATCATTTAAAAAAACTCGCAAGATAATTGGCTTTATTGCGTCAAGTGCACTAAATCAACTAACATCGATTATATGAACTAATTTACTATAAATAGAATATACGGTTCGTCTCTTCGGCCATGCATATCGTTGCAAGACGTCGACTTATATCGCTTGGCCCTGTGTCGTTTAGCTTTCTACCTCCGTTCATTGGAAGTTAGGAAATGAGACTGTCTCTTGGTTGGTAACTGATTACATCTCCCTGGTATTCCTCTAGGTACTGGACGTCGAGAAAGACGAAACCGTTGCATCTCTGGAGAACCAACGCTCACCGCGGTTCACAGTGACAGGCCTGAAGCCTGGCCTCGAATATCTTCTACGCGTCACGGCCAAGAACAGTCAAGGCTCTGCAGATGCCGTCACCATGACGCATCTCACGCCCATCGACATCGCTGAAAAACGTCTCAGTAAAAGTCCCAGTAATGTCGGAGGAGTCGGGGTCCCGACGGCCTTGGGTGTCATGGGTGGAGTGGCGTCGGTGTTACTTCTGTGTTGTCTTATGATGGTCATGCTTCTGAAGGTCAGAAATTCCGGAGCCGGAAGGGCCATGCAACAGAAAGCTAAACTCGACATGGATGCTCAGGATGTCCAAGATCATTGTAAGCTGAAACCTGACCGAGAGCCAGATGTGATTTTGATTTCAGCAGGTCAGTATTCGGGTTAATATTAGGTTAATTAATGGTCCACTTATGATTGCTGATACTATGCATTAATCAATCTATAATGATTCTTAAGTAGCTGCAGAGGTAACCGTGGTATTATTTCTTAAAAACGGATATATATGTTCAGAGAACGAAACAGATTTGCACTATTCCTTTTTAGATCGATTTTAAAATTTCGAGTTTAATGAATACCATCAAATGAGTTACGGGTGGCCACTGGCTAGCAGACACTCATACGGCTCTAATTTTCAACATGTTATGCGTAGACATACTGCCATTAAGGAAGTTTTCTGTGTGCTTCAACAGACGGACGAGAACAGACAGACGACATGAACCTTCTGCAGCGAGAGGACTCGGCAGGGTCTGCGGACTCTGCATACAGCGGCCGGCGTAACCTAACCAACAAGGTGATTACGTTTTCTGTGCCCCAATTATGCAGACTTTTAGTTCAAAATAATTAAACCTTTTGTGAAATTTCAAGCCCTTTATAGTTTTTCTTTACATTCATTTGGCCAATTTCACATATTTGTTTATATTCAAAAATTATATTTGCATTTCTCAACACGAATTCAAAATCTAAAAGGTTTCATAGGCATTATTTTTCTCAAAAGGAAATGACGAATTTTTTACAGGTATAATTAAGTTAAGACAAGATTTTACTGTAATTGTGCTCAAGTTCATGCTTTACAATTTCTTATTAACTCAGAGATTTTACTAACGCCTCGCTGAATTTTTTGCAAAAAATCTAACTGTTAACCTAAAAGGTAAGAAAAACAATGGTATTAAATCTTCCAAACTAACTTGTTATTCACCAGAGAAAACAACCTCAGTCCGAACAAAATTCTAATTCAAATTCATCTCGCGAATCTGCGTCTCGCGCAGAAATCCGCATCCAAAATCCAGATATTTCGCGGAAATGTTTGTGTGCGGATTAAGCTATCGATCAGAGTAGTCGATCCGCATCCATTTCTGCGTCGCAATTAGTGGTCATTCTGTGCCCCTCTGAGGCTCCTATGTCGGTAGCGTCGCCTCTCTATAATTGATCCAATGAGGCTATCGAAATTCAATTAAAGGCTCCCATTTGCCTGCATTCAACCTCAGTGCCCAGCTTTGAATGAAAGTATCGGTTAAATTATCACCTAAATTTTCAATGAAATCATTATTTCGATGGAGTTTGAATTCATACCTATATTTTACACAGAATTGCCACACATTATTTTACAATAAAGCTCGACAATATGTCAATACATTAGTTAAATTCCTGCATTCAATATTGAGTAGTATCAGAGTCTAGGAACAATTGAGGCTAAGCTAAACACAGACGATGAAATATAATCAAGTAGGAAATTCTTTTAACGTCGTCGTGCATCAGCAGTTTGCTTCTCATCAGCGAGTTGATTTTTGTTGATACTCGTTGCCGGCGTCACAAAGGACGGCAAGCAAGATTTCTACGCTGCAGTTTGCCTCCCGGCGCAGCTGATGGATGTGTTCAATTCAGTTCAACAATGAACTGCAATCGTTCAAACGATTTTTAGTGTCAAGCCGAAGAAAAGAAAAACGTTGACCTTGTCCCGATTAATTGAGAAAACTGCCGCGAGATGTTCAATCGTGCTTAAAGTAGAAGAACAATTCAATAGCCGAATTCAAAATCTTTTTGAGCATTGTTTTTAATTATTTTTGAAACATACGCCAATTCTCATGCTCTGAAAAGGTTTAGAATTTGCTGTTCATATATGGCGTCTGCTTCAGTCGACTATTTACTATGGATTATGACATTCATATCCTTCACCGATAAATGATCATACATTATCTTCATCACGTCCGTCATCTCTACCATTGTCTAAGTGGTAAAAGCCATTCAAGAAGACTCGTACAATAATCAGAGGACAGACCATAGAGTAAAATGAACAATTTTCTTTTCTTATCTCGTGAGTGTTCTTAATTAAGACGTCTTCTTTTGAACAATTATACATACACACAATGACCAATATTTCAAAATGACCAATTATCCTGATACTCAAAAATGCATTCAGTTAATATTTTGTTACAGTAAGTTTGATATATTTTCTGTGAAGGCTTTACTAAATTCATTCTGAAGCTTATTGTAAAAAGAGAAGTAAATCAATCTATTTGACTAATAACAATCATAAGGATTGTAGGTCGAATATCCAAGGCAACGAGGACGTTCACTGCGCTGGTAAGCAGTTACTTACGGTTAGATTAAGGCAGTTCCAATACAGTACATTAGCGCACCGCGGCTGAATACCTTGGAACTATAGCACCGTCCATAATTTTGGCTCATGAGAGCAGCGGAACAGCGCTCTCCCATTTGCTGCCATCATTGAATTGAGAGGCCATCTTCAGGGATATAAACGTCTAATTCCACGCACCCTTCATCACTCGTAATGGATAATCCAATGAGCTTTGATGATGCTCTTGAAAGATGACGTGTGTTTGCTTTGACGATGCCTCGCTCTGTTTTTTCACCAAAACAGACCATTTTTGCTTGCGGTTACAAATACTGTAACGTCTATTACTGCACGTGGTCAACTCTGGTACATTATTCATTTATTTAAATTAACTGTTTTTTAATGTACAAAGGACAGAACCACTGAGAATTTTTATGACGTTAAGGTTATTTGCAACTGGCAATCACTCATTTAATTTCCTTACTTTCTCCCCAGGGCCCATACAAACCAATCAGCAAGACAATGAGAAGAGAGATTTATAAAAAGTAAGATTTTTTGGACGCTGACTGTCAAAATTCAATGTGAATTTGTTACCTGATGTTGGTAACCATACGTATGTCATTAACCACCAGCATTATTTTTGGTCCACCAGAACAACGTGGCGCCAAGTGTTGGACCCAACATCGATTACCGAGATGAGTTCCGAGTCGACACTGTGGTCCCGGAAGCGCTCTACATGCATCACGATCGCCTTCAGTTCCGCAACTCCACGAGCGAAGTCATGTCTCAATTTAGCGGCCTCCACGATGGCGAGTATCACAACTCATCACCACTTCAGTATTCTCTGGAGCGAAGGCTGGATGCTGACCAAGCCCCAATGGTTATGATGAAGGAAGAAATGCATCAAAATAGCCTTCCTTACCAGAGTATCACGGGCTCCAGACACACCGCTGAAGCGATTTGTTCTTTAACGAGTCCTGAAGGAACTCTTGAGACGCGTAAAGGACCTCCAAAGGTGTCGTTTAAACCAAGCAAAGAAACTTCTTTAAATGAGCCAGAAACATCGAAGTCTTTGAGTAGCAAAGAAGAAAGTTTATTGAGAGTCCAGAGTTTGAAAGGAAAACTGTCTGGGAAATCGACACCGGGGCGTGTTTTGAGCGCTTCCATCCATTCTCCTCAGAGAGAGAGCATTGTTTAGTGGAATGAACATCCTGCTTGGATGTTAAAATGTCATGTTCATATTGTGAAAACTATACCTTGTCATTTCTATCTCAAGATTTTATAAACAAAATTTCTTTATTGTATTCTAAACTTGAAGCATTCATTTTTTATTTTGTTTTACAGTTTTTAGCAATCTTGTACTCCAATTTTATCTTTAATGTTAGGAAGTAGTTTTGAATTGATTGGTATAAACAATTGTTTGAAATTTTTAGGAATTCAATGAGCAGTATTATTGTAGATAATATACTGCTATTGAGTATTAAGATCGTATTTATTGAGTTTTATTGTGTTAAACATAGAAATTTGAACATACAAGGATTCAGAAAGCACACCTCATATTTTCTTTAATTGCGTACACATTTAATTAGAATCACCACAAAAAGGATTCTTAAATGAAAATTTATCAAATTTCTTTTACTTTAAACAATAATATAACTGACACTGAATGGTTATTTTTGACAAACTTAATCTCAGCTTATTAGACGAAAAATCAATTATTCCTGGAATGGATTTTTCAGTCAATGAAGAAAATGATGTTCACGTGTATATGTTATGAACATCAAAGATTTTAAAATATTTTTTTTCTCATTTTCGATGTCAAGTAATGAATGTTACTATCAAATGGGCTCTTCATAATCTATACATACATGATTGTTAACTGTATACCAATATGATTATTAACCTATACCGACATGATGTTACTTGGAATACTGATAGGTATACCTTCATAAATAAAAAAATTTCAATTCGTCATACTACTTCGAATTTTTTTTTACCCTGAGGCAAAGGACTGCAAGCTGCAAGTCCATGTTCTGTCCTCTGGGTAGTTCGTAATGAATGTCCTCCTTGTAACTAAACATTGGAAGAACTCTGAGCCAGTTGCAACATTGGACGTACTCTGAGCCAGTTGCAACATTGGACGTACTCTGAATCAGTTGCAACATTGTACGTACTCTGAATCTGTTGCAACATGGGACGTACTCTGAGTCAGTTGCAACATTGGACGAATTCTGAATCTGTTGCAACATTGGACGTACTCTGAGTCAGTTGCAACATTGGACGAATTCTGAATCAGTTGCAACTTTGTACGTACTCTGCATCTGTTGCAACATGGGACGTACTCTGAGTCAGTTGCAACATTGGACAAATTCTGAATCTGTTGCAACATTGGACGAACTCTGAATCTGTTGCATCATTGGACGAACTCTGAGTCAGTTGCAACATTGGACGAACTCTGAGTCAGTTGCAACATTGGACGAATTCCGAATCTGTTGCAACATTGGACGAACTCTGAATCTGTTGCATCGTTGGACGAACTCTGAGTCAGTTGCAACATTGGACGAACTCTGAGTCAGTTACAACATTGCACGTACTCTGAGTCAGTTGCAACATTGGACGTACTCTGAGTCAGTTGCAACATTGGACGTACTCTGAGTCAGTTGCAACATTGGACGAACTCTGAATCAGTTGCAACATTAAACCATAGAGTCCGTTGCAATCGAGGAAGAATATGTCGAGCCTCGATACAATTTCAACGTCAGTCGACTTATTGTATATTCCCTAGATGTACAAGTTTTGATAATAAAATCAAATTGTGCGCTCTGTAGCTATCATTGTCCTTCGAATATTAATCGCTGAAAACTGTGGGAAAAATCTGAATTCATGCGTCAATTGCAATTAGCATTACATGACATTTATCAATTATTCAACATAAACATCAATGCTGGTTATGTAATATTTACTCGTCTTATGAGCATAAAATTACGTCATTTTCGTTGAAAATTTGTACACTTGTACCTTAAGGGTACAATGCTGAAATATCGGTAATTTGTCGTACATCACATCCAACTGCATCATAAACCGTGCTTTATAATCGCATTAAGTAATTAGACCTCACATCACGCGCCTATACGGCTGCGAGTGGGTGTAATAATATTGATATTTACTACAAAGGCTCTCTGCTTTTCGAACTGCAGGCGTGGTCGAAATAACAGCAAACATTCCTTTTTCAACATTTATTGGGCGGCAGTCACAGTAATACTTCCGCCAATAATTCATTTTTTGGCTGCTTTTTAACCTGCAGACGACGCCAAAATTCTGCCAAGCATTCTTACAGGAGCTTGCACGCTCTCCTGCTGAACACTAACTCAAAAAAGCAAAAAAGTTTTTGTGTTTATATCACACCGCATTTGAAAATTTGAAAACTTAAATAATCTATATTAGCTTATCTTGTGCCATCTGATGGTAGAATTATTCCAGCCAGAAATTTTGCCTGAGTGTCGGAATCACAAAGCAATTATTAATTATTTAGATTCTCACGAGACATTCACTTAAAATATTAATCACGAGACTAGTCTTTATCCCGAAGTCTTGAATTTATTCTTTCAAGTTGATTATTAAATAATCAAAGAGGTCACCGTTTTTTCAGATAAAATATAGAATGGAGATGAGGAAGACTTCGTTTGTTTGTTTTTTTTTTCTCTCTCTCTCTCTAAATTTGCTCTAAATCATCAGACACAAGTGCGTTTTTTATAAAAATATGTCAGAAAGTGATAATTTATATTAAATAATTGGGTCCAATAAAATTCAAAAATTTGGTAAAACGTGAGGGATTTTTTTTTTTCTTGCTTCCGAAATTCAGCAAATGAAAACCCAAAGCGTTCAATTTTGTTTCAAACTACCACAAATTTCACGCTATCAAATAATGCAGCGGCTACTGCGTGAACACCAGGCAACATCATGCACCACGCAGAGGTTTATTTTAAAGAAAGAAATAGTGAGGGTTAACCTTACTGTCCAGATGGCGTGATGCGGAGCCCTTCGATCCGTCAAAGTGCAATTTATGAGATGGTCTGATAATATCTAGGCCGATCATTTTCTGCCAAAAGATCGTAATTTACGAGAACAAAAAATTCTCGCCATTCTTACAGAAATTAAATTAAAAATGTTACTTATATGCGAGTTTTTGTAGGAACATATTGCAACGTATTATATTTGCTCACTTAATTACACGAGATAGAATTAAATAAAAACAAATTGCACAAATTATTAGCACAATTTGTTTTGCATATATTATTATATATGCACTTTGCTGAAAACCAAGAAAATTGTTCAACAAAATCATCAAATCAAACATAAAACTCTAAATTGCTTGCGATTATTTTGAAGGCATATACGTTATCTTTAACTGCCAGACGATTCATCATGACGGATGAATATTAAATAACAAAGCTCCCAACAATATTTTATCCTCATAAATTGAAATTCGATCAGTTTGCCTCTAAGAATTACTCAAAATAAAAAATTAACGACTTCAAGTTCAAAAAGAATTCAGATCTCTCTCACGATCAATATGCTCACATATTCTATGTGAAGTCATTAAAAAGTTTACAGTATCAGTGATACGTAATTGCATTTTCATTGCTTGTCACGACATTTGAGCTGTAATTCCACATGTGACATCGTTAACACGTCTAAGCATCCGTGATGCTTATTTACATTTCAATATTTCTCGGCTCACAGTTATTCTCTTTTAAAAGATTAACTCTGTCTTAACGAGGTAAGAGGATCTCAATAAATTAACTGCTTATGAAAGTTCCCCCTGACATGCAAGCTCAACATTTAAGAATACATGGAAGATTAAACAGGTACGTAAGTTCACCAATAACATTGTAACACTGCATAGATATCAAGTTTGGAGGCAACGTTCAGCGAACAACCAAAGACGAGGTTGGTTGAGATCGATCGTTTGTGTGCATGGCGCCCTCAGCCTGCGTGACTGTCTTAAGAGCCACATTTTATATACGGCAGCCATAGACGAATAACAGCCTCTGCACGCTCATGCCACGTGCACGCTCATGCCACGTGCACGCTCATGCCACGTGTATGCACGCTCATGCCACGTGTATGCACGCTCATGCCACGTGTATGCACGCTCATGTCACGTGTATGCGCGCTCATGCCACGTGTATGCACGCTCATGCCACGCGTATGTACGCTCATGCCACGTGTATGCACGCTCATACCGCGTGCTTGCACGCTTATGCTACGCGCACACACGCTCATGCCACGTGCACGCCCGCTCATACCGCGTGCATGCACGTAAATGTTACGCTCATGCTCGTCTCCTTCATTTGTAAGATTATGATACCTGAATTCATTGCAAGACTTATCCTTAAGGTCTTTGATAACTCGAAGTCTCTGCCAAACATGACATTTGATTTCTTTTCACGACTCTCAACATTTGATGTTTTGACATTTGATGTCTTTTTAAGACACGCTCACAATTAATAAGCAAGAAGACACCGACTGCTGCTCCAGCGCCGCTGTTCGCCTGAGCGTGAGATCGCTATAACATTCCAGCAGCTATATCTTTATCGCTCCCCTCAACCTTCCCTCAAAAAACACGCGAGATAGCAAGGGTTCCTCTTTTTTTAATTCCTTTTGTTGTAATCAAATGGATGGGGACTCGAAAAAATACGAATAAAAAATTCCTCCTAATTGGAACACCAGGAAAAGTCCCTCATCCAATATTCTCGTAAGAAAAATCTATTACTAAGAATATAACATTATTGTTGGCGACTGACGCATGGTTCGAATAGAAAGAATGTAATCATGAAAAATAAAGACGCTATGTTGAGAACAATTAGGGATAAAATAAATCTTTTTTCTGACGCACCAATTACTATGTACACAATTTTCTAAGTAAACAATTTAAACACTGAAAAATAGTGACAGTTGAACGACCACTACAAGACCATTACCATCAGGCAATTAAGTGCTAGATAATAGAAGTTCCCATAGACGCTAGAAACATTTAATTGAGTCAGATTTCATGTAAACAAATTTCACAGTTGTTATTCTACGAATTTGTTGAATTTCGTAGAATATTTTTTCTTATCCATCAAACAAGGTAGCTCTAGGTCGTAAAACCTTGCATTGACGTTATTCTCTAATTTTAGAGACACCGTGATGTAATTTTCCATCACCTATAGCCCTTTCGTAGTTTAATAGAGTTATATTGCAATATCCATTAGGAATTGGTTTATGTATTTATAAATATTAGAAATTTAAATCATGTCAAAA